TAATGGCTCGTGAGGAACCGGTCGTGACCCGGTCATCATTGTCAATATGGAGGAGACCGGCTAAGCATTATGGTAGTCGGCGCGGTTGGGAGTGCTCAGCGTCGCATAGTGTTCGGCGCCCCTCAAGTGCTCGGCATTGGAGGTGGCCGGGATGAAGTGACTGGTGTTGACAACCGATTCGGTCCGGGCCGGATCGGATACTCAGCCCCTCCGAATCGAAACAAGAACCCGGTCTGATGAGAAAGTGCCGAGCTGGACCGCGAGTTAGAGGGGCGGGAAACCGCCCTGGGAACAAATCCTCAGCCCGACGCCCGACTTAGACCGAGGAGATGCCGACCTGGATGGGTGCCGGACAGGAAGGAGACTATTCGTAGTCTAAAGAACATCTACGAACGAAGTGCCGACCTGAAAGTACGAGGAGGCCGACCAGGGACGACGCAGGGGCCTCAATGAACATTAAAATACTCCCACTTGGGAGGTCATCATTGGACGATGGGACAGGTAATCATGGCCTAGCCCCCTACCAGCCAGCCTAAGTCAGCAAAGCCATCCAGCATTAAATACCCCCCATGCTTGTATTTAATGCCCGTCAGGCAATGATTGAAGAAACCTCAAATCGCATTAAATGACCGTCAGACGGACGCCGAACTGCCCTGCCAAATTACTGTGCGACAAGACCGGTGAACAGTGGCTGAATAGTGACACATTAAAGACCACTATAAATAGAAGCTCACCTCATTTATTTTAGGTTGTTGAATCCCAACTAACTCTGCCTTCTCTCTATTTTCTCACTCTAAGAACTGTAAGAAACACTGTAAGAATTGTAAGTATATCGCAAGTGCCGACCTCGTACGAGAGGCCGACCTCGTGATCGTCTAATAAAATCATAATTAAATCGAGTCATTCTCCTTTTTTCCAGTCTTGTTTTCAACATTCTTTATTTTTAACCGTTGACCGAAAACGCTCGTCAACAACTGGCACGGCATCAGCCGGCATAGCGAGTGCTCGGCGTGGGTAAGTGCTCGGCGCGGGGCCTCCAGCGGGTGCTCGGTCTTGGGAGGTGCCCGGTGGCCTCGTGTGTTCGGCGGCCCTCATAGGCCGTCGAGGGGGCTAGAATCGAAGATGGCTTCGGGATCAAGTTACGAAGGAGTTAGTCGCAAAGAGGACTCTCGA